GAGGACGCATAGGATGGTATAGTAGCATTCTCTTTTGTTGAACCTGCTGTCTGTGCTGGTGGCCATTTCTCATGTCAAGTTACGTCTGCGTAGAGATGGCAGAAGTAATGCCACGTGACGTCATCGCGGCCATGTTGCCCACCATAAACGAAGAGTTTTCGGGAGTGATTGAGACTGGTGTTATCCTTTGTATAATTTAATATTGTTTAGTTTCAAAATGTGTAATAACTGTAAACAGTGGTTTCATCTTGTAAGTAGTATTATAGGAATAATTCTTGGAGGAGCTGCATTTGTCGTATTTTTCTGTGTGTATGAGAATATAGATGCCGGCTTCTGGGGATTTTTATCTGGTTAGTAGTTCAGGATTAAAAGGAGAGTTATTTAAATTTGATTTCACGATACACGTACGTATATAGCTTTGCAGAGTACAGATCAGGTCTTCGTGTTTCATTAAGTTGCCGTGTAAGTTTGTTTTGACACAATTCATGGAGTATAGATTTCAGTTATATTAGTCAATCAGAAATTACCACAGTGAGATATACGCGATTCAAGCATATATTCCAGACGTTAATAATCGCTGTGCATTTATGTCATACGTACATAAACGTAAGTAATGAAATGCAGTTATAAAGGAAATGCATCCAGGTAACTCCATATCACTTCATATCCTCATAGGCAAATGCCATGATAATACCTCAAATTAAGACAGCTTAATACTTTTACATCTTTTCCAATTCACTCTTCACTAATCATTCTACCATTAAGTGCTCTCTAGTCTGCGCTACTTACAGCATACTTAAATCATGAATACACAAACCTACTGATGGTGATGCCATGATATGAAATCAAATTTTAATGAAACCATGATATTCATATGGGTATTCCTATTTTATGTTGCTAAAAATTTAGAATTAACGGGAATAGATCAAATTGCCTTTGACCATAATATCAGCAAGTGCACTGGAGATCAGTGGATGAGTAACTGCAATTTCCAGTGGTTTCCATCACATTCACTTCGTTCTGAGCGGTTTACCTTTATTTATCATGAAATTCTTAGTAGGATGTTGCAGGATAGTGTGTGGTATAACTAGTGGTCTTGTGTTTGAAGGTGTGTTTGCCATGGTATGCTTCCATTTGCACTATCTTCATATTCGGCAGAAGCTAGACACATGGCACTCGGCGGATACACTTAGAGGTATCAAGGTGCTAGGCATGATGGGTACTTTGGCAGGAATGGCTGGTCTGATCTGGTACATCTTTATTGCACAGTATCACCACATACGTAAGTAAGTTCATTAGTGGGGGAGGGGGGAAACAGTGAAGAGTTGGGTCCTTCCGACCTAAACTTAAGTAACCAGATAGTATTATGAGTTGCCATCTTTCTCAATACAGTCCTCTTTAGTGATATTCCAGGACTGTGTGTGTCATTTAATTTAACCAGTCGTATTCACAGAATCATAAACTAACGTAGCCTGACTTACTGTACCATAAGAAATTCAAGTCATGAAATGTAATAAGACAGGTTCACTGAGGGTTCAGAAATTGCCCTGCAAAATTGGAAAGTGGGAAATTCAAAGAGTATTCTTTAATTTAACTAATTTGTTTTAAATTATATTGGTTCTGAGTCATTGCTAAGATACAGCAGTTCTATTTGTTTTCATGGTTTATGTTAGTTCTGTAAGGAAGAAATGTACTTCATTTTGTCAGATTTGAGGTTGTCATAGCAGTGAATATGAAGAGCACTATCTTCTTGGATGGGCCGCGTCATAGCTCAAGCAGTTAGTCGCCGGCTTCCCACCACGGCGGCCCAGGTTCGATCCCGGGTCTTGTCAAGTGGGATTTGTGGTGGACAAAGTGGCGCTGGGAAGGGTTGCTCTGAGTACTTCAGTTTCCCCTGCCAATCATGTCACCTAATTCTCCATTATCATAATCACCCGGGGCAGGCTACAATAGGCCAATCAGTTGCCGCCATGCCGAGTGGACCCAGTTGGACCCCACCCCCCCACTAAGCGAATTAAAAAAAAATAGAGCGATGCGTTTCATTTTAATCGTTCGTTAAACAAAACTGAATAACCAGTTAATTTGAAGCAAAT